ATTAAAAGCACCTCTGATTGTAGAGGAAAAGCCTTCTCCCCTAACTCAAATAACTTTGTTGCTTTAAGACAATTTCATTAGAAGTTGTCTTAACTCAATAAACATCGATGCAAACTGTTGCGTTGATTTTCTTTGTTGAGCCAAGGCATTTGTTTTTAGAGTGTAGTTGAGGGGTGAGTAATTCCAATGTAATTCTCTGGATCACTTAATTCTCTGTTAATATTGGAGTTCTTCACTTAGCCACATCCAGCCAAGTCTGAGTGCATGAGCTCATCATCATGATGTATTCGTATGTCCATTATCCAAATCATACAGTAGCCAGACAAAGCCTCCTCTCCACCTTTATCCTGCCGAATGTTGGCCCCTGGACCAAAGGTGTCCTCTTACAAGCCTTTCCCAGGGCCCTCTGACAATGACTTTCCTCCAACTTTCCTTGTCTCCTCTTTGTTGCCACTTCTCCCCCAATTTGCTCTCAAAATGATCTCCTATTACCCTTTAAAAGCTGTGTTTGTCACATCACATCATCGAAGTGGAGATATGGATGAGTAGCAGCTGAGAAAAAAAAGAACCTTGGGGGCTTCAAAGACGTTATTTGATCGGACGGAGCATTTGCTAATTTTTACATCTCAGAAACCGGAAATTTGAGATCAACCTTTTGTACTTGGTTACGGTCCAGAGTGAGTGTGACACCCATATAAGGGAAGAGGGAATAATAGGGTGAAAACAGGAGGATGGGGCTACAGTTGTGACCCCATTAACAATCTGTGTGACAGTAGCCATGCTTGATGCTAATGCCTAGGAACATAGTGACAGGTCAGTGTGCTCCCGTGGGAGCAGAGCTGTGTAAAATGAGGAACAATGCAGTCAGAGTGAAGGCAAGGCTCCACAGAAACCCAAAGCATCGCCGAAGGATGTTCTTCGCGTGTGAAAATACAAAGCTGAGGAGGAGCCATTTTTTTATCTTGTCATTACGTCTTCAAACGGTCATAAAATTAATATCTAGATTGTCGGTTTAGTCAATACATCAAAGTTAAAGGTTATGGGAAATTAATGAATGTTTAAAACACATTTCTTGAATGAATGTTTAAAACAAATCTCTAATCAGGGGGCATCTCCAAATCCCAGCAAGGGACATTTTACTGTCCTCCTAATAGTCCATCCCACATAATCAAACGACAGACAGGAAATTGATTTAAAGCTCCAGCTTTACTGTAGACTTGTCGATTGTGATGATACAGCAAAGGATTAAAGCTGGAATAAACAGAAATATGCATTGAATTATTTATCTGGAAATAGTAGATGTAAAGTGATACGTTTGATAAAATGTTACATAATACAAAAATCACCAAATGTGCCCGAAATAGCCTATGCTAAATGTAACTAACATGCTACTAATATATGTAGAAGGACTCACATATTAATCATGACATTTATAGCGTGAATGGGACAGAAACTCCCTCTGGAGGATACACAGGGATTTTAGCCTTTGTAGACCATTTACAATCAGAGTTACTCCAAAACAACCTAGCACTCTGATTGTTCACTCTGTTTTCTCCTTTAAAGCTGCAATGTGTACTACCAAGCCACCTGCTTCAAATAGAGGGCAGCATTTCACCACTGTTACTGACCAATACAATCCGGATGTACAGTTACCAGTTATTTAGAAAAGCTATTTTAAATCCAATAAACAAACTGTCTAAGAGACATGGACCATAGCGGTTTTATATCAGCGATATTTCATATTTTTCTGTTTTCTAATTACATATCCAACAGACAGGATTGGGGAGTAACAGGCTACTTAGATTGGGATTAAGCAATCAGGATTTAAAAAAAGTAACTGTATTCCCTCACAGTTACATTACAAAAGATGCAAATTAGTATCTCAATGGTCTCTAATGCCCTGGGCTCACTCAATCACATGGTAACCAACAGCCTGTCATCATTCATTCTTACCAGTATAGAGAATGCTCTACCACCAAGGCAAGCTAATGGTCAAATAATGTTAGGTTCTGAAGAGTTCCTTATGTATTGCCATGTTAGGCCATTATTAGGTAGTGACAGTAAAGAGATACAGGAAGTGGAGAGAGAGAGAGAAATGTGGATCAAAGCTCCTCGGCCCAACACAAACTGAGCGGTTCCCCCTGCTGTTAAAGGTTGGAGGGAACAGGAGGACCAGGTTCTAGTTTTTATTTGAACAACTCTACCTTATCATAAAACCGAAAAAGCCAGCTGTCCAACACCTTCATTGGGATAAAAATGGAGGACATTATTCTTCTGATGTCTTTATTGATATGACGGACCTTTTGGTCTACATGCCCATTAATCTGTTCTGAGGCTTCTTGCTAAGAAAATGATAATATCATAACATTACAGAACGAAAAACAGGAGAAAGAAGTCACCATTTTAAAGATTTTTTGATAAAATTGTTGAGGTCAGGTTAATATGAATCCAAATGGACTCCTGACAGTACTGAACTGTTCCACCCAGAAAATGCTTGAAATAGCAACATTACATTATACTTTATGCTTCTCATATTCCCTGATCAGATTTAGCATGAATTTATTATATTTCTTATTATACATTTTGAAAATACCTCTACTTATTGCAGCTGCCAATGGAGCATGTTATTGCTAAGATGGTTTATGTTCAGCCATGCCTCTCCATTTATAACTTTTGTGAAAATTCGCAGGCCTCCTTCAGGGCCCCTGTTGGGCTGTTGCCTCAGTCTTGGGTGAAGGAAGGTCCCTCAGCAGAGGGGGGGGGGAAGGCACGGAGCTCTGCAGGGCAGCCTCCAGCAGCAGCCACCTGCTCCTCCGCCCGCAGACACAGCTCCTGCAGGAAGTTGGCTGTCTCCATCACCAGGTCGCTCTCATCATCTAAAGCAGAAACACACCGAGTGATAAGGGCCCGAGCAGCGAGTCAGAGCAGAGGACCTTTTGAAATCCCTCAAGATTGATTCTCTTTGTAGCAAAAATGAATCACATTTTTGAGGGCCTAAAAGTGTACCCAACATGTAAGTTGGCAGGATAATCAGGACTGGTGAAAATGTTAATAATGTAGGGGGCTCGTTCTCGGGGTGTCGGTAAAAAGCTCTGTAAAAAGCTCTATACGCTCCCTGCAAAGTTGCCAAAAGGCAGCCCCCCCACTCAGGTTCACTTAGACATTTGGTAGGTACAGTATATGTAGCTTGGTGAGACGCACTAAAAAGCTTCTTGGAGGCTTTTTTTTCACCAACTCCTCCGACGGTTTTCATCCAAACAACTTCAAATTAAGTCAGTAAGTCTTAAGACCACGAGGTTAAAAAGTTATTAAAAGCTTTAGTCTACATTAAACAGCCTCACCATGACATGGCGTGGAAAATGCAACATTGGCTGTAAAAAAGGAAGTTGCTGTAACTCAAGCATTTATTCTCAAATATGCTTCAGATTTCTTATGGATGATCAGAGACCAATCCTGAAGATATTTGCATGCCAATATACACTCATTGACATAGCGCCACATAGCGTTTGGCCCTTTAACGTCCTCCTCCAGGCAGATTATGCAGGCGACCCAAAGACTTTTACAGGTCAACATTGGGTCATATGTATAGCGCCACCTAGTGGCACAGGAATGTTTAGTCAGGTTTATGTGCCAAACATCAGTCAATTGACATGGAAATGACATGCAGCCTGCTAATGGAATTAGCACATAATCCTTAGCGCCACATAGTGGACACCAGAGGTGCTGCAAGATTCACAATGTTATTTCTAGAGCATCACACTCCATTCAGTAAGTAATGTTCATTACGTCTGGAACGCTCGTGCCAATTCACTGCTGCGGCCAGAGGAGTCCTGGTACTAACCCTGATGGTATGGATGTGTGAGGGCCTGTCCACCACTGCCTGTAAATGTAATTATGACTGTGGTATATTTACCACAAGAGGGCACACTAGACTGTCAATAACACCGCAGCCTGATGTGCAGCACTATTTAAGACTTCAGTGTTTTGCTGCCATAAATTACATTTATAAAACAGGATATTGGGTTTAACCATAAATTATAGTAAATCTGAAGTGGATCAAAACTTAAATCCATCTCCAACAATATACCTTTTTCCCAATTTTTTTTTACTTGATTTGATTTGACTTGTTTATCAGAATATATCGGAAAATGTGTCGTGCACTCCCAACTAAATGTAACTATACTACAAACATCACATCAGGGCCCACATTAAGGGTCATTATTGAATGACCAAAAGCGCATGGTTCAAAGCACATAATGCAAGTAATTCAAGGCTTGTCCAACTCCACTTTTGCAAGCTGAACAGCGCATTATCTGGTCACAAAATAAGGCACAAGGAGCTAACTTTCAAGTTTGAGTTATTTTCACCTTTTGCTGTCACTCAGACCCTTTGATTAGGTCCCGCCCTCAACCTGTTGTTTCAATCTGCCCTAGTTGGCTCTAAATGTTGAACTGCAGATGAGATTTAGTGAGTGCTGTGAATTTTCTCTCTGCTACACAGCCTCAAGCTCATCATAATCATCGTTGTAGAAGATTATTCTCTTCATATGGAATCAGAGTGATTTTTTCTTAAAAGAAGATTCTTCTACACACCTTTCAGTTCTTTGAGCTTTGGAGAATCCTTCTCCAGGTCAGCATCCTGCTCCTGTAGACACCTGCACATATTTTTATGGGCGAACCAGTGGAGCTTTTGGCACGATAAGCTACAGTAAGTCACCTTAAAGACAAATGAAATAAAACGTGACCTGGGGGTAGTTCCTTCCTGAGAGTTGACACCATTGCATTATACTAGAGATGGGGGCATTCACTCACTGCTTTACAAAGGGAGCATCTCTTGTCTGCTCCCTTCTCCCCACACGTAGCACAGTAGTTAGCATCTACAAACGCCATCTGACCAGTGATGGCCTGGTTCAACACCGAGAACGCTGTGGGGTCGTTTCCCTGGAAATAAGATGATGGGGTTATTAGTTATTAGGTCAAGTTATTAGACAAACCAATACAAAAGAAAAAGGATAACTTAGTAATCTTTTATCATCAACTTCTATAGAGTGATGCAGTGATATCGAATTTGTAGTCCGACCTTGAAGTTAGCATTGTAAGGGTTGCCCCGACTAAAAGGAATTTGGAATATTGGAGTAAATAAGATCTGTGGCAAACACAGGTTCATGGTATTCCCAAGTTTTGTTAAGAAGGATCATCTTGTCGTATTAACACGTTCTCTGTCTAAAGTGTAAAATATGATCCCCAGAAGTAAAAAGCAGAAGTTAGGCTATAAATCAACGACATCACAGTCGCATGGCTGCACATCACCAGCGCTAAGCTAAAGATGGCTAATGTTTGGCAGGATGATGTTTGAGAGTCTCATTTAGTTACGTGTTAGCTACTGTTGTTTCTAAGACACATAGAAGCTTAAGACATCTATGAGGGGGTATTTACTGATTCATTGTATGTCTTTATGTTAAAATCTATGAAGCCTTTGTTAACCACATACGTACCTTATTTCAGTCAACAACAAAAAAAACAAGGAAACCAGATGTAATAAAATGCTATCTCAATGTTGGGTTTGAGGACTCATTCCTGCACCACTCATTTAACAACTGTTCTGACATCATTCTCCCTCATTTATGCTTACCATGGTATTTTGCTAAAAATTATATACTGCATATTACACTTCAATTCTCTGATATGTTCTTCACTTACAATCTCTATCGGTGCTATGCTCCTCACCAGCTCCTGAAGCAGTGTGGCCTCACAATAAGGAAACTTCCTGATACAGTCCCGAATGAACTTCTCCTGGTACTGAGGGAAGCCATCGCTGTCTCTCCCCTTCAACAAGCTGGGGCCGAGCAGCATTCAGGCAGGTGAAGGACAATGAAAAAGAGAAATGGATAATTATATTTATCCCAATGTTACTCTCCATAGATTTAATTTACCATTGTACACATCAGATGTAGGTACAACCTTGTAGATTAGTTTGAAGATTATTCAAAGAGGCCCTATTCTGCTTTTTGTGGTTTTCCCTCTTCTGTATGTTTTATAGGTTTAAGTGCATGTAAATGGTCTGCAAAGGCTAAAATCCCTGTGTTCCCTCCAGAGTGAGTTTCCCCCCCCCTCGCCTNTTAGCGTACAGTTCCCGGGAGCAAACGAGGGTGACGTGGTTGGAGTACGCACGCTGACTCACTACTTAGAACTTTTTCTGCGTCACGCGCGTGGCGCTTTAAGAGGGGGTTGGCACCGAACTGACCGTCCTCTAACCGTCCCGGCAGTGTCGGTCTATCGCGACCTATGGAGGCTGCCGTACGCCAGGGACGCTTCCCCCCCTCAGTGAAACACTTTCGTACGTAGAGATTTGAGAACAAACCGTCAGGAAAAGTTCACGTTTCTTCTCCTGGAAAAAGTCTACAGGAGTAGCTCTTTCTCGAAGGGTCGAACGGAAAAGTTACGTTTGTGACGAAACAACTTCCCTACTCTAACATTAAACGGTTATGGAACGTAAAAAGTGTACCTCGACCAAGTCTACCGGTTCAATATCCAGTGGCTCTATCTTCTTTAGACCCCGTCCTCGGTCAGTCACAAACGAGCGAAGTACTAACAGAACTGCGGAAAGTAAAGTTCTCTTCAGGCCTACGTGAGTCCGTTCGCACGTTTTGCCGACTCGTGGAAGGGGGACACTGTGTTGTGTACAACCGACACATTTTCCGTCTGGCCTTATGGTACTGAGGGTTTGAAGAAGTTGTCTCCGAAATCGACCGCTAGTAAATTTCGCGCCGCGTTGTTATTTCAACTGGTGGAGCTTACTTCGGTCGCTGAGTGGAGTGCGTTCGAGGACCGGTGTTGCAGACCGCCGTTTCCGTCGGGAGGACCACTCCTGCGTTCACTTTTGAATCCTAGCGAGAGAAAGTACAACGTGCCTCTTGCGATAGTCATGTGACTGTCTTTATTAAATGAGGTAGCCTTATGCAGAAAAAAAAGAAATCGTTTGGCAGGTATATTTCTTGCGACTTATGTTAGGAGAGGAGCGACACAACAGGAAAGTAACCGGGTTTCCGGTCGAAAGGATGACGTCACACCAGTTGAACGATCGTATGGACCGTCCTTAACTATGACGAGTGACTTTAAGATTGGAAGTCGCTCTCTGTTTTCATAACAGGGCCGACCAAATACAGCGAATTAAACACAACAGCAGAGCTGAACTAAACGGTAGTACTACGATGCTAGGCACGTGTCAAGGAACGCACTGTCCCGTACAGGACAAAGAATAAGCACTAACTAATAGAACAGAACCATAACACCTTCAGTACGGTTGTCAAGTAACGTGTAGTTTCCGTACTTACAAACGGTATGACCAAGGACACTTACCGAAGGTAAGTGACTGATTACACAGTTTCGTGGTTCTGTTTCGAGCTTAAGAGCAGTGGGCATTGACACCTGATGACAGAGTCTGCAGCAACGACTCTGAGCTAGACTAGGCAGTCCGACATCATAGGGAGCGTGTTAGGAATGACGACAGTGGCGACCTAAAGCACGTTACTGGCACCATGGTGCCCGCATGCTTCACCGGCGAGACGTATAAAATGGGCAAAGTAGCTACTTAAAATAGGACACGATCATCATGCTTGGACTGTACGAGCCGGGACGAAGAGAGGAGGAGGTTACGCTCACTTGCTTCTAAGGATCGTCAGGTGATCCGCTAGAAGTTTCATAGGCGTCTTCCTTGTAACTTACTCAGTCCACTAGAGAGATGCGGTCATGACGTTACGGTCGCCATTAGGTAGCGAAGAAAACGAAGCGTGATAGAAAGGAAGTCCCAACTACGCTGGAGTGATCAAGAATAGCATTGACTAGAAGTCGGAAATCGTGCAGAGGCCTGACATCGAGCGCGTATCGGGTAACCAAGGAACACAGGGGGCACCTATAAAAGCGACGTTTTGATTGAAATGACTTCGTACCTGGTCATAGTCTTCTTGTATAGCGTTCATGTATAAAACTAAGGGCTATATAGCTATACGTTAAAAATAGTAACGTATATACTGTGCTGGCGTCTATGACGGAGAGTAGGTGTTTACGTTGTAAGGAGACAGGTGCGACATCGCCAGGACTTTTACCCAGATGAAGGACTGTACACTAGTAGCATAGGACCAAAGAAGACAGCGTAGCGACTAGCACAGGTTTCGCATCCGGAAACTACGCCTAGGTTCTATCGACAGGTTTGAGCGCGGATACATGATATCTTCTTTTGGGCAAAGGCGAAGAAGGGAGAACCGATTGTGTTACTGTGGTGGTCCGATCCACCCTGCAATGACTACGAAGAAAACACTCGCGGACTGTGAAAGCACAAGAGACGGGAGGCGTGAGATGGATACAGGGACCATACAGACCTCACGGGTCTGCGGGTGCACAACATGAGGGCAGGTTTAAGCATAGAAGTTTTGACAATGAAATTTCTGTCATAATAATTCTTTATAGTGTCCACAAAAAAAAAAATAAAGTTAGTTTCACAGAACCCGTCCAGGTATGATAACGGCAGTGCCGTGTCCGGGTATATTATACCAGAGACACACGGTGTGATCCACAAAGAGTGGGGCTGAGGGCCTACACAAGACTTCCGAATGTTACCTCAGGATAATTGTACAGTTCTCGTGGTTTACAAGGCCGGTCGTCGGAGGCAACAAGAGGCGCAGCCCTAACAAGTTATCAGATTCACAAAGATCTTACCGAAGAGACGGGCCTAATCCAGGAGACGCAAAGGTTACCGGAACGAGCATGTTCCTTGTTACATGGAGTAGAGTACACAGGCACTACAGTAAGAAAAGCGGGAGGGGACCGACCTGTATCAACGAGGGACTCAAAAAGTTAGAAAATATAGAGACTATATGAGGTGGATGGACTCAACGGAATAAGCTACGCCCTTTCTACAAAAAACCTAGTAGCACGAGTGGTTTTACCCCTCTATCGGAGACTTTGAGCTGGAAGTTGCTGACCTGAAGGCATCAGACATGTGGATGAGTAAGTTCAAGTCACTTAATGGAGAGTTGGAAAGTCTTGCGCGACAGCGAGCAGAGCTGGCGAGGGAACACAAGTGGACAGAAATGAAAAATCTTCAACCTGAAGACCAGCTGATTCTTAAAACTTGGAACGAGCTTCCTGTGACATACCACACAATGCAGCGTGTGAGTATTGCTGTATTGACCATGTTTGGCTCTACATATGGATGTGAGCAGTCATTCTCGCATATGAGGAACATTAAGACCAACCTACGCTCACGTTTAACTGATGGAAGCCTCAACGCCTGCATGAAGCTCAACCTCACCACGTATGAACCAGACTACAAGGCCATCAGCAAAACCATGCAGCACCAGAAGTCGCATTAAAAGTAAGACATATTTAATTTATTATACGTTAAAAATACTATATGGCTCTCAATGAAATATATTTAGAAATATTTGGCTTTTATGGCTCTCCCAGTCAAAAAGGTTCCTGACCCCTGTATTAGGGGTAGCATTGAGAATATAAAAGAAAGTGGCCTAATATGCAAATGTTCAGGTTCATAATAGTATTTGTATTTATTTAATAAGGCTTCTATTTGCTAGCGCTCCAACACATTGTACGTGATAAGCTAAGGGGCGGGACATCTCTTAGCAGTTGACCAATCACAACAGAGCCGGCCAGCTAACCAATCAGAGCAGACTGGGCTCTGGTTTCAGACAGAGGGTGAAAAGAGGTGCTGCAGCACAGGCAGTGTGAGACAAATAAAGAGCTTTTTGAACATTAAAGCATGGAGACATGTCCCAGTAAATACTAATATGAAGTTCGAACCTGAAAATGATGAGAATACGCGCCCTGTAAAAGATATAGTTGAAATGAAAATAATGCACTTGTACCTAGAATGGAATGGCTTGTTTTTTGAGCAAGCTAACCTGCAGGTTTCTTGCTGTTCTGAGTTTGTAATGGCTTGTAAACGTTATCTCATATCAGGAAGCACACAAACCTGGCCACTCCGGACCTTAACAGTGATGCAAATGACCACTAAATATATTTGTATCACAAGACCTTGACTTTTGCAAGGAGAAGGCCCATGATTCAGCTACACTTATGACTTTGATAGACCAATGAAAAAGCCGATGAATGAGCAGTGGTGTTCTGTTTAATATGTCTTTAACTCCAGCTGAACTTTTTGCATTATCATGCATGTCAGCTGGCAGCTATGGTCGTGGTTTAGGTGTGATGTTAAGGTTAGGGGTAGTGCTGTGTTAGGGTTATCTAAGATGTTGCAATACCATCAGTTATATCAGAAGTGGATATTTCCTCATTGAAAGATTTAAAAAATATCGTGCAAAGAACAGTACTGTAGGCTTTGATCGATGTATAATGCCCATTCACCACGCTCTTTGTGATATCCCCCTTCAAGCTATAATTACATGTCTATTGATGCACTCCTTAAACTTCCCCCTAAACATAGGCTTTCAATAGTGAACCCTGATAGAACCCTCGTGTCTAACTGTATATTAAAAGAGCACTGTCATTCTTTCTATACATCAAACAAAGATCTAGAGTTCACACATGTCGGAAATGGAGGATTACAGCACAGTGATTCTACTCTTGTCATGGATGCAACATCACAAGTGGGAGTCTTGGAGCCATGTAGTATTTTTCCTTGCAGTATGAATACTTTTTTTCGTATTGTATAGATCAAAGTATGGGCGGGAGCCACATCAAAAGCTGCAGAAAATCATCTTCTGCAAACATACTAAGTATAAAGACCAACATAGAATCATACAAAGGTCCGTTTTGTTGAGTGTCCTGCAGCCTGAGGCTGTGAAAGGTGCTGCTGCTGGATGTTTGTCTACATGTGT